AGTAGCTATGAAACTGGAGCTTCCGAAGCCCGTTTGGCTCGGTTCTTTGGCCTAGTTTATGTGCTTTTAATTGCTTAACATAACTCTAATGCCCGGATAACTTTGTTTTAATCTTTTTTAGGTACATTGAGCTTAAAATGGACCCTCACATGAACGAAAATATGGCACTTAATCACGAAATTGAAGAAGTGGCTGAGGATTTGAACTATGATACCAACAGATTCATGTCTTCCGATTGCCAAAACCGGTATTATGATAATCTCCTCACGAAGAAGCTCACACTTGAGAAAGGAATTATCGATGACAAAGTGGCCAAGCTTCTTCCGGATTTCCATGTCCGGCTAGTTTCAAGCGGCTGGACCTGCTTCATCCCACTCCATGCAATGCCAATGAGTAATGGGTGAGGGAATTGTATGCTAACTTAAAGCGTACACATTTTCAAAACCATGAACTTACAATAAGGGGAAAGATTGTGAAATCTAGAGTTGAAGAGATAAATTATGTCTATGGGATTCAAAATCATCCGCTCGGGCCAATGCGAGAAAGAGATACATGGGACAATGGTGATTGACTAGTCTCAAAGCCTTGTCCTACAGGTTAGACAGTGACTTGGGCTAAAAGGAAAAAAGGCATCAAATGTGGTGATTTCACAGTTGAAGCAAAAATATAGTTGTATATCATTGCGAGCAGAGTGTATCCTTAGGGGAACGTATCTGATGTCACATATACTAGGGTCCTGATGATTACTTGCATACTTGATGGTATTCCAGTGAATGTCTGTTACTATCGTTCATGAGCTAAAGGAGTATGTGCTGGCGTGCGCAGGTTGAGGAATGGGATGGAGATAATTGGATACTGGGGGATCATGAAAGAAAATACTTTTTTCACATCAAGAAAAGAAAATACTCTTTTTGTTGAAATGAAAGAAAATATTATTTCCACCTCATAAAAATTTAATACTCTTTTTGTTGAAATAAAAGAAAATACTTTTTCTACATCATGAAAAGAAAATACTTTTTTTGTTAAAATGAAAATAAATCCGTTTTTTTTANAAAAATATTTTCCCTTGTCTTGATAGGAAAAATATTTTCTTCCAATTAGAGGAAAATGAGTTCATGAGGAACATTTAAGCCGACCAGATATGGAAATATTGAAAAATATTTTCCGAAAAATATTTTCCTTCATACCAAACACACCCTTAGTGTATTCACCAATCATCATTTGAGTCATTGCGTAATTATATATACCTACTCAATCTTGATAGGAGTACAAGTCTGTTACATACCCATCCAAATATAATACTAATGGACCCTATCACACCCTTTGGACTCAGTTAGTGGTGCCAACATGGGCACGCCGCGGACTGGACATGAGAAATGTTGGGAAAAAATGAATAATACCAAATTGCATGACTAGGTAAATAGCGAAAATAACCCAAGTCTAAATTTTCTCAATTTACTTGAACCAAAGAAAGATAATAAATTGGCACTAATGATGACACGGGCAGCAACTATACATCACACAAATGAAAAATAGCAGGGCAAAAGTAATCAAGGTATGAGACACCAAATTTACGTGGAAAATATTGTGAAGAGGTGAAAAACCACGGGAGTTTGCCTACAAAAGCTCCACTAAATCAATCAACAAGAGTACAAATTGTTCTCAAAGTGGATAAAAATAAAGTGCCAAGCAAAGAGCAACAACACAAATAAGATAACACCAAACTAGAGACAAAAAGAGAGAACTCAACCGCAATAGGGCTACTGTTGACGTCCAATTTTGGGAAGTTCCACACAGAAACTCCAATCGCCGGATTTAAGAACAGGATGTTGAGAAGCTCCAGTCCAAAGTTAAGCACGATCAAACGGTTAACGAATCAGAAAACAATAAAAGAATCGGACTGCCTGGAGCAGTATTTTACGAAGCAAATAACAATATTTTCTTCTCTCTCAAGTCACCAAAAACGGCCCACCTCTCTATTTTTCACTCTTGTATTCATGAAATAAGACCTAATTTGGTCATATATATAGTGGGTTTTAAGAAAAAATGGGCTAGATCCAAACGGTATTTCATTTATCCATATAGGAAGGGAAAAATCCCAAAACCTAACAAGAAAGTCAGAGTGCTGACTTAAGAACGTAACTGTCCAATTTCTTGGGCATAGTACGTAAGTGACAAGGGAATAAATCATTCCATCATGAAGTTGGACATGTAAATTATTTGTGTTTTTCTTCATCGTTGTCTTCCTAGTATATTTTGAATAAACATAGTGACATAACACAGTTAAATTAAAGGAAGCATCCAAAAGAGAGCTGTTGCTCTCAAACGCACATGCAAGTATACATGACCGTACAAGTAATAAAATGATAAGTCGAGTGTCGAACCACAGAGACTTATATCAACTACCTACTAAATTCACCAAGATTGTTATTCAGTCGAGCCAATTCGAGTTCAAGCTGTTTAATTATACTAAATTATAATTCTAAGTAGTAACTAAATTATCAAGCAGTAAAACGGTTGTTGTGTATTTAGTAGAGATAATATTCCAGGGTTGTGATCGATTCACCAATCCTATTGTGTTCTAGTTAACTCTCCCTTTCATACAATTCACTCATGGTTGCTAATTAATCGAACAAATGCTCTCATAGCCTTCTCCCGAAGTACTACTCGCCTATTCAAAAAAGATTAACACCTATATTCCTATTAAATCAATCTATTAAGAATGCATTAAGATTATGATATTTAATTAAGCACGGTGACTAGATATATTCCTATCCTAACTATAAATTCGCCCCCTCCCCCCCCCCCCCCCCCCCNAACAATTGCTCTCGTAGCCTTCTCCCGAAGTACTACTCGCTTATTCAAAGTAGATTAACGCTTATATTCCTATGAAATCAATCTATTAAGAACGCATTAAGCTTGCCCTATTAATTAAGTACAGTGACTAGGTATATTTCTATCCTAACCACAAATCTACCCCCCTCCCCCAGAATTAAGATCGTGCTCTCTTCAATTCTTTTTTAATCTAAATATGGCTTTCCCAAGCATAGCATAAATAGTCAATAGAATCTAACTATTGGCCAGACAATTAAGCAATTAATCACAGAATTGAAGAAACAACCATATATTGGTGAATTGTAATCAAGGTTAAGTCAACGTTAAACATCAATATTCATGGCTAAATCACAACCCCAGAACTATGGGTTTTAGCCACTCATGACAGTATTAAACAAATTCATAAGTGTTGGATAATTGAAAATACTAAGAAAAAATAAACAAATCTGAGATATCCTTGCTCCCGAATGTTCCTCATGTGTCTCTAGGTCTAAAGTGTGTCAAAAGTCCAGAAAATAACGTTTACCATGTATTTGTACCAAGTAGAGTTGGACGTAGATGAAATTTCCCTTTCCTATCCGAAATAGAAAAACTTGACAACTTAATTCTTTCCATGAGTCGCACTGTGCATCGCCCAGTGCGTCGCACTGATGCTTTTTTCCTGTCAGACCTCAAAAAAAACCAGTCTCTGAACTTTGAAAATTTCTGACAAACATTTGCACTGATACGTCGCACAGTGCCTCACACTAGTGCATTTCTTCAGCAATTGCTTCTTCCTTGAATTTTGACGTCCAGAATTGATCCTCGAGCCCCGAACACGACCTCCAAACACGATCCCAACTATTTTTCTTTCTTTTCTTTTTCAATTCAAGTGGCTCTTACTTTTTCAAAATAATGCACCTTTCTCCTTATTTCATTAGTTCGACTCAAAAGCCAAACCAACCACCACACACTTTAACTCTTACAAAGTTCATAACAATTCCAAGTGCTCATGAGAGGTGAAAATGTTCAAATAGATGGTTAATTCAAATAAATGGGTAAGGCTTGTAATGTGGTTGCCAATGAAACAAGATTACAGGCTCAAAGGGGTTAACTACGATACATAACAATTAGGTGGGTAAAAGCATATAACTTGCTCAACAAAAAAAATGCCTATATCACTTCCTAGACTGACCGAAACTACTAATTCATTTTGCAAACATACGGGGCAAGTTCTAGACATCAAATGCAATGTACAGAATAACACACAAACCTCATACACACATGGCACATAACTCACTCAGAATTGGACTCATCAAGACATTTCAGTCAAAGAAGTTAAGCAAAGTTAAGGTCATACAATTTAAGGTACTTATACAAGAGTCAAAAAATGAGCCTAAGTGTCACAACCAAAGTACTCACTATTCTCAAGGCATAACAAAGTCAAGAGATATTGCTTCAATTCCAATCACAGCACACTGGCTCCTACTCGTAAGAAATAATACAACTAACTACACCCGGTTCAAACAAAACCCTTGGAAAAGAATCGCGGCATAAAAAAAACCATGGGGGAATTATTACACTACCTACAAAGAAAATCTTTTTTATTGGACTTTAATCCCTCAAGAAAGCTGTTCACAAAATCCATCATCGGGAGGAGTCCAAATTGTTTTTTTTTTGCATCACTACACTAAGAAGGAATACTATAATTAAGCTAGGATAGCATAGACAATCTCCTCACCCCATACTTAAAATTGTGCAATATCCTAAATACACACTGTAAATAACAAGAAGGTAAAAGAGACTCCCTGGTAGGCCAAAGGCCAAAAAATTAGCAGCTCACGGGTACTCAGACTTTCCCCAGGTATGGTCCTTTGTGTGGGCACCCCACACTTAGTTCTCACCATCTAGCTCGCTTTTTGCACCCTTCCAATGGCTTTGCTTCCTATGCTTATAATCCTACAACATCAAAACAACCACTACAAAAATAATATAATAAAAATAAAAACAAAAGAAAGCAGTAAAGTTGGGTTGCCTCCCAACAAGCGCCTAATTTAACATCTCAGTACGGCGTAGTGTCTCGCTTACTCATCATCAAGTACAACATTGGTCTTCTCACCATCAATTATTCCTCCCCAATAGTGCTTGACACTTTGTCCGTTCGCTAAAAAATTCCCTTCACCATTTCAAGCACACATCTCAATTGCACCATAAGGAGTGACTCTCACCACCTCAAATGGGCCTGACCATCTCGATTTTAACTTCCCAGGAAACAGCTTGAGCCTAGAATTGAACAATAATACCTGTTGTCCTGGCTCGAAAAGGCCTGTCTTGATACTCTTGTCATGCCATCTTTTCGTTTTCTCTTTGTAAAGCTTAGCATTTTCATAAGAGTGCAACTTGAACTCATCTAACTCATTCAACTGCAAGAGTCTCTTCTCACCCGCGGGTTCAAGGTCCATATTCAACTTTTTAATGGCCCAGTACACTTTGTGTTCAAGTTCAATAGACAAGTGACATGACTTTCCATAAACGAGCTTATACGGTGATGCCCCAATTGGCATTTTGTATGAGGTTCTATATGCCCACAAGGCATCATCTAACTTTGCAGCTCAATCCTTCCTATTCACACTCACCGTCTTCTCTAATATTTGCTTTATTTCTCTGTTAGACACCTCAACTTGTCCACTTATTTGTGGATGATATGCCGTAGCAACTCTATGGCGGACTACATATTTAGATAGAAGGTTATTCAACACCCGATTGCAAAAATGTGTCCCTTCATCACTAATCAAGGCACGTGGAGTCCCAAACCTCGAGAATGTGTTCTTTTTCACAAACGCAACTACCACCATGGCATCATTTGTTGGCAATGCAATCGCCTCTACCCATTTTGACACGTAGTCAACTGCTAGCAAGATGTATTTGTTTCCTCTGGACAATGGGAATGGTCCCATAAAATCTATCCCCCACACATCAAAAACCTCGACCTCCAGGATGTTATTCAAAGGCATCTCATGCCTTTTTGTGATTGTTCCTGTTCTTTGACATTGGTCACACTTCTTTACAAATGCATGGGCATCCTTGAATAATGTTGGCCAAAAGAAACCAGATTGTAATACCCTTGCAGTTGTTCATCGCCTCCATGATGGCCCCCATAAGGTGATGCATGAAAATAATACAATACTAATTCCACATCCTTCTCTGGAATGCATCTCCTCATCAACTGATCAGCACACTATTTCTACAAGTATAGCTCATCCCAATAGTAGAAGTTCACATCATGTAAAAACCTCTTTCTAGCTTCAGATTCAATTTTAGGAGGAAGTACCCCACTCACAAGATAGTTCACATAGTCCGCGTACCATAGGGAAAGGTCTTCGGTGATAGCAAAAGGTTGCTCATCAAGAAATGCCTCTTTAATTTCTCCACCCTCCTCTACGTGATCATGATTTTCCAGCCTTGATAGATGGTCAGCTACTTGGTTCTCTATGTCCTTTCGATCTTGTATTTCTACATCAAATTCTTGCAACAACAAAACCCAGCGCATCAATCTAGCCTTAGATTCCTTTTTTGTAAATAGATACCTGATTGTTGCATGATCGGTATGGACTATGACTTTTGTTCCCACCAAGTATGCCTGCAATTTCTCAATGGCCCNGCCAAGTATGCCCGAAAGTTTTCAAAGGCCCACACAACAGGTAACAGCTCCTTTTCAGTAGTGGTGTAATTCAGCTGTGCATCATCAAGAGTCTTACTCACATAGTAGATAGAATAAAAGACCTTTTCTTTCCTCTGGCCTAGCACTGCCCCAATAGCATGGTCACTTGCATCACACATAAGATCAAATGGTAAGGACCAATCTGGTTCCGCAATAATGGGGGCAACTGCCAACTTCTTTTTGAGCTCTTCAAATGCCTTCAGGCATGCGTCATCAAAATTGAAAGTTACGTCCTTTTCAAGCAACCTGCACAAAGGCGTAGCAATTTTTGTAAAATCCTTTATAAAGCGCCGATAGAATCCCGCGTGTCCCAAGAAACTCCGGACACCTTTCATAGAAATTGGCGGAGGTAATTTTTTAACCTTCTCCACCTTTGCCTTATCAACTTCAATTCCGCTTCCAGACACTCTGTGACCCAACACGATGCCTTCCTACACCATAAAATTGCACTTTTTCCAATTCAACACTAGATTTGTTTCTTCACAACGGGGTAACACCTTGCTCAAATTCTTCAAACAGTCATCATAAGAAGACCCAAAAACTGAAAAATCATCCATAAAAACTTTCTCAAATTTTTCCACCATATCGGTGAAAATAGCCATCATGCATCTCTAGAAAGTAGCCGGTGCATTACAAAGACCAAACGACATACGCTTGAAGGCGAAAGTGCCACAAGGACAAGTAAAAGTGGTCTTCTCCTGATCCTCTAGGCATATGACAATCTGGTTGTACCCCAAATAACCATCAAGAAAGCAATAATATTCATGCCCCGCCAATCTGCCCAACATTTGATCAATGAATGAATGTTGGAAATGGTCCTTGCGGGTTGCTTTGTTGAGCCTTCTGTAATCAATGCAAACTCTCCACCCTGTTACGGTGTGAGTAGGAATTAGCTCATTTTTCTCATTCTCTACCACAGTCATCCCCCCCATTTTTGGGCACACATTGCACTGGGCTTACCTAGTTACTATCAGAGATATGGAATATGATACCTGTATCGAGCCACTTAATTACTTCCTTCTTCACGACCTCTTTTATAATGGGATTTAATATCCTTTGTTGCTTAACTCTGGGGCAGTGTCCATCTTCCAGAAAGATTGTATGCATGCAAAATGATGGACTAATTCCCTTGATGTCAGCAATTATCCATCTGATAGTCTTTTTATGTTCGCGAAGTAATCTGAGTAGTTTTCCTTCTTGTACATTAGTCAAGCTAGATGCGATAATAACTGGAAATGTCTCAGAGTTCTCCAAATAAACATAACACAGATGCACTGGAAGGGGCTTAAGTTCTAGCTTTGGATCTTCTTCAATATATATCTTAGGAAGGGTCAGAGTGACAGGCCTATCCAACTCCTCAAATCTCCCAAACCCATGGACATAACTGCAAGACTTGTCAAGTACTTGCTCAATTTCTCCCATCATCTCATCTTCACTGTCTTCTTCATCCCCAATAAAAGCTCGTTCAAGAGGATCTATGGGGCTCATATAAGGCACCAATGACGTAGCATCACTTTCCACCACAAAAATCATGGATAGCTCTTCATAGTGGGCTGGCAATATGAGTGCTTTATACACATTGAATACCTTCACTCGATCACCGACTCTGATTGTCATCTTTTCTTTGCATACATCAATAATAGCTCTGCCCACTGCTAAAAATGGATGCCCCAAAATAAATGGGACTTCTTGATCAGGCTCGTAGTCCAAGATAATGAAATCAGCAGGGAATATGAAAAAACCCACTAACACATCTTCAATCACTCTTTCAGGATGAGCAAGGGAGCGATTAGCCAACTGTAATATTACCATTGTTGGGCGTGGCTCACCCAACCCCAACTGTCTGAACACAGATAGCGTCATCAAATTGATGCTCGCTCCAAGATCACACAAAGCTTGCCCGACTGCATGCTTACCAATCGAGATTTGGATAGTGAAACTACGTGGATGCTTTAATTTCTGAGGTAGCTTGCTTTGGATTCTAGAGCTACATTCCTTGGTGAGTGCCATAGTCTCGAATTCAGTCAACCTCCTTTTATTTGCCATTATGTCCTTGATGTATTTTGCATATTTGGGCACTTCTTGCAGGATGTCTACCAGTGGAATATTGATTTGCACTTGCTTCAAAATATCAAGAAAATTTTTATACGTGACATTATCCTTCACTTTCTGTAATCTTTGAGGGAACGGAGGTGGTGGCCTCGCAACTAATGGTGGAGGTTGCTTAGCCACCGCCTCTTCAGCTGGCTTCTCTGACTCCTTTGATTTTTCTAATTCCAGCTCAATAGTGGCCGACTCCTCATTAAAGGTCACTTGTTTTCTCTTTTTTGACTGGACTTCTCCTAACTGTCTCCCATTCCTCAATGAAACATCATTAATAAATGCCTTAGGATTAGCCATAGTGTCGCTTGGAAGAGCTCCATCTGCTTGAGTATTTTGGGCACTGGCAAGTTGCCCCATTTATCGCTCCAAAATTCTCATTGTTGTTGCTTTGGCCTGCTGATCAGCCATTAATATTTTCGTTATCTCCTCAAGGTGACTCGTTGAGTTTGCATGTTGTTCAGCCTGAGGTGGTCTATATTGTTGTTGAGGTGCTTGAGGCATGTATTGATTCTGAGCACCTTGGTTTCCACCCCAATAGAAGTTTAGATGGTTCCTCCAATTGGGATTGTAAGTGTTCCCATACTGGTTTGTCTAGCCCCCATTTGCATTACCCACAAAATAGACAGACTCTGGATTAACTGGGCATAAGTCGTTTGTATGACCCTCTCCACATACTTCACAAAACAATTGAACCTGTTGCACTGGCTGGGCTTATTTCTTGTTAATAACCAAGGTTATCTGATTTACTTGGTTGGTAAATGTGAAAATCTGCACTGATAATGCAGAGACGACATCTAACTCAAAAGCCCCTGCAGATTTTTGCACTGTGTGTCTGCCCATCTCTCTTTGCCAATCAGGATTGCTTTTGGAGAATTTGTTCAATAACACATATATCTCATCAAAGCTTTTCTCCAACACTTGACCTCCAGCTGCAGCATCTACCACAATCTTTGTGTCAGGATGTAGCCCTTCTATGAAAGTGTGAGCTAACACTTCGTTTGTCTGAATGTGATGAGGACAGTCTCTGAACAACCCCTTAAATCTCTCCCAAGATGAGTATAAAGACTCCCCCGTTTTCTGTTTGAAGGTGACTCTTTCACTTCTAATCTTTGTAGTTTTTCCTGAATGGAAGAACCTTGCCAAAAATTTCCTTGCCAGATCATTCCATGATGTAATAGAATTAGCTGGTTCTGCCTTCAGCCATTGCTTTGCTTCGCCCAATAGAGAGAACTAGAAAAGTGTGAGCCTCACATAGTCTGAAGTTACTCCGTTGGTGATATAGGTATCACTAATCTCCAAAAAGTTCAGGATGTGCTGTTGTGGATCCTCGTGTGGAAGACAAATAAACTCCCCATTCGCATGTAGTAGCTGGATCATGCTCTGTTTCAGTTCAAAGTGCCTAGTGATTCTGGGCTTCACAATGCTGGAGGTGACATTAGCAATGCTGGGCATCACCACCTCCTGAACAGCCATATGTTGCTCTTCTGCCATGTTCACAGGAAATTGAACAAGTGCCTGAAGATTATTTATATCCCTTGCTTCCCTCAACCTCCTATGAAATGTTCTCTCAGGTTCGGGGTCAAATCCTTGAAGTCTATCCTGGCTTCTGACCCTGCACATTTAATAAAAATCCATGAGATCAGAGCAACAATCAAGTAACGTTAGACTTGATGAAATAAATAATGAAAGCAAAAACTAGAAAGTAGTCAATATTCAAGTTCCCCGATAACGGCACCAAAAGAGAGTTGTTGCTCTCAAACGCAAACGCAAGTATACGTGGTCGTATAAGTAATAAAATGATAAGTCGAGTATCGAACCCACAGATACTTGTATCAAATACCCACTAAATTCACCAAGATTGTTATTCAGTTGAGCCAATTCGAGTTCAAGAGTTTAATTATACTAAACTATAATTCTAAGTAGTAACTAAATTA